GAGCTCCTGAATACATGACAAGACATGAGTGCAGCAACAGCAACAATCTATAAATTAAATAAATATAAAAAAATAAGGAGAAGGCACACACAATAATGAGCCATACCTGATGTTCGGGTAAAATTCTTCTTTAATCCGAGAATTTAAAAAAAAGGTACAAACGTTTCGATTTACTATGGGATCTTCTTCAGTGTTTAAACATATTCAGTTTGAGGAAAAGAGAGAGGGAAGTGGCAGCTAAGTAAGTCAGTCTGTCAGTTGTATTCAAATCGGGAGAACGTTTCGCGTCATCTTGCGTAATACTGACGGTTACTTAGCTAGCTGCCACTTCCCCCTCTCTTTCCTTCAAACTGAATATGTTTAAACACTGAAGAAGATCCCATAGTGGATCGAAATCATAGAGCTTATACTAATGGAGAGGCCTTGGGAGCGCAAAGAAGATCGACAAAGAGAGATATAATTTTCTGTTTCAATTGTAGGCACTTCTTATAGAAGAGAATAACAGAGAACAAGGAGTGGTGGAGCCACAGTTAAGACAAAATATATCTATCTCTCTGTTGCTCCTCGCGCGGCCCTCTCTATAGTTAGCATATAGGCATGGCCTCTCCATTAGTATAAGCTCTATGATCAAAACATTTGTATCTTTTTTGAAAATCCTCGAATTAAAAATTTTACCCGAACATCTGGTGTAGCTGTTGTTGCCTTCTCCCTATCTTTTTATTTAAACATACAACGAGCACAAAACACATAAATAAATATAATCGGCTGATTCTACTGCTTTTTTTTTTTTTAGATAATCGTATCGTTTGCGATTTTTGTCTATTAAGCTCTGAATAGTATTGTGTATTAATACAATTTTAAATATCTCACATTGACAAAAAATATTGATTTGATTAATAAAATTTTTTTATCAATAGTTTGTTATTTAATAATTTGTTATTTAATACAAATTTAATTGAATTTAATGAATTCACTTAAATTTGTATATATACATCTCACGTAATAAAAACTAATGAAGATATTGAATAAAAAGATATCAAAGTCTCGAGAAAATTATTCTCCTTAACTTGTACTTCTCACTTTAACTTCTCACTTTTGATCAGTTTAACAAATTATTTCGATCGTTGACTTTAAAAGAACAAAAGAGAGAATAATTCTACGGCCGACTGAAATTAATTCAAGAATAGGAAAAACGAAGACGACAAAACAGCTGAAGAAGAGAAATGATCAGAAAGGATAAGTATTGAAACCTTGTTACACATACAAGATGTAAATTTAGTAATTCACTTAATTGGATTGCTTGAAATTTCAGTACATTGGCTTCTTTTATTAAAATATCCGTATGTTCCATTTCATTCTAGTAAATATCAATATTCTATTTGCACATGTGTATACTTCTTCGCATACAAATATTATACAACATTTTGTGTAAAAGAGAGAAAAAAAAAAGATAAATTAAAACATTTACGTTAAAGAGTGTAAAATATAAAAATCTAAAATTATCTTATCTAATCTTGAACAAAAAATTATGAAATAGTAAGTCGTAATATTGATAATTTGCCAATTATATGATTTTTATGCGCTCTTAGAATTTTTTTAGCTCCTTTTCTCAACACCACTTACAGTAAACAGACGTCATGTAATTCTTTGTTCAGGAGTAATAAAACTCATAAAGATGAAACGAAAAATGCTGCGAGAAAATTTTCTGTCTCTTTTTCGTTTCCAAGAAATAATAACTCTTGGTCCCGGCATATTGATTAAATATACATTTTTGTTAAGTTTTGAAACACACGAAAAGTGATTTCGACCACTCGAAGTAAATCGGATCACAACGACGAAAGCTAGCCCGCAGCGGAACAAATTATCGGCAGGTTAATTGCGAGGTGGTTACGTAAGAGGAATGAGTTCCCGCTGCTGATGTACCATCAACCTTAAAATTGAATTATGTCACCGCGCTTGAATATGCATGAGAGATGCGACGCTTCCTGGATGCGGTTCGTTAAAAACCCTTGAACAGATGGAAATTTACGATTCGCGAGACAATCAACAAGAAAAAAATGTACTGGAAAACACAAATTATTTTCTGCGATTGATTCGGGGCGTTTCTTCTGTGTTCTTTCCGCAAACAACATTTTTTTTTGCGTCGATTTGATATTTCTAGAGGGATTATAGAACATTCTAAGCCACAGTTATACACACATCGACAATGCAAATTGTAATAAACTTATAAAGTTACGCGCGCACTGAGTAAAACGAACTACTTCTCTTCTTTTCTCGAAATCAATCCGCATTGTGAAAATGCAAGAACACAGAGAACATTTTCTTGAGAAAGTAAATTGCAATAACTTTAAAGTCGAGAGAATCGTATAACGTTGGAGATGAAGAAAGCTACGCAAATTTCGAATCCATAACAGAAGCACGCGCATCATATTTTTTCTTCTCATACACTTCTCTTCGCACTTACTAACACAATTAACTAGAGCAAGCTGAAATCGAATTAATTCGTATCGGATGTTGCTTAATTTCGCTGGCATAGTTGTACATCGATACGTACTGCAGTTTTCCTGAGAAAGCGATCGAATTTTTGCAGATCGTAAAATAGTTATTCTTTAATTTCTTTTTTTTCTTTACTTGTACACTCTATTGTCTATCTCTCTCTTTTTGTTTGTTACTTCTCGAATGGCAGCATCTCTCTTTTGGATAACGTCATAGGTCACGATCGTCAGAAATATGGGTCGTGTACATATACGCAAAAACACTGGAAAGTTTTGAAGTCAACGCGCGCTTCGCGTTTATTCTGCGAAACGAGAACTGAGTGATTTTGCCTGAAGGAGAAATATATAGATATATAGTCTCGTGGTAAGTGCTTCAAGCGGCACCTCTCTCAGAATATACATCGAGGAACCTTCATTGGGCGATAAAAGATGAGGTTTTCCCAACCTAGGCACTTTATGGAAAATTTGTTTACTCATCAGACGCACTTTATATAAAAAAAATTGAGGAAAAACTATCTATAGAAATTAGTTTTAAAAATATATAATTAAAAAGAATAAAATGTATCTAATAAATTGTTGTATCTATAAGAATATCTAAGAATAGAATTTGTTTCATAAAGCCTTTTTTTTACCTCGATCATAGATCATCAATATTTTTGATAAGAAAAATCGGGGTAAATGTTCAGAAAAACGGAGCACCTTCGGAGGTCAATGACCTTGACATATGTTGTCAAGGACACCTCTCTGAACAACAATCTGCAACTTGTAGCCGTCGCTTGTTGTTCGTTAAAAAATTATAAACAAAAGAAATATCATAAATGAACTCTTATTTTCCGACACCGTGTACGTTTTATTCGTGTTGTAAGCGTGTAGGCAGGGGGAGCTGCGCCCTCCCGCACCCCCCTCGAGAAAAAATGAAGAATTCAATCAAGTGTCGCTTCATGTATTGTTTACTCAATCAATATGCACGGTTACACTCACCATACAGTAAATCACAAAGAAAATTTCGTAGATCCTCATACTAATTGTCACACGCAAAACATCGAAAGAATTTGGCGAGATATGCGAAGTAATATTCCACTTCTCTCTCTCTCTCTCTCTCTCATGTCAAGTAAACAATCTTGACATGAAGCGACACTTAATTGAATTCTTCATTTTTTCGTGAAGGGGAAGCAGAGAGGAGGGGCAAAGCCCCTCCCCCTGCCTACACGCTTACAACACAAACAAAATGTACATGGTGCCGGAAAATAACAGTTTATTGACGCAACTTCTTTTGTTTATAATTTTTTAACGAACAACGAGCGACGGCTAAAAGTTGCAGATTGTTATTCAGGAAGGTGTCCTTGACAACATATGTTAAGGTCATTGATCTCCGAGGGTGCTCCGTTTTTCTGAACATTTACCAAAAATATTTATAAAAGTTGAATGTGCTCGTTATTTTAGTCTCTCTCATTTTTTTACTTCCGCAATTTTCTTTTAACAAAGTGCGTGGGCAATTGAACTCTGACAAAAGAATAAAGAGTCAAGCGCATTTGTCCGGATGAATATTTCACGTCTCTTCTTTAATAATCTACAAAATATATATACGTGACAAAAACATGGTTTTAGCAAAAAACAGGAAGATTGTTAGGAATATTGACGAGAACTACAAAACATAATTTACGACCACTAAACTTTCAATCGATTTGCAAGCAACGAAAATGATCAAGAAGTTACAAGTCGCACAAGTTATTCCATTTTTAATTCTAATAAATTTAATCTTATGTATGTAGGAATCGTATTTCCCTTTGGCGGCGAATTTCGACTCGCTAGCCAAAAGATACGCACGGTGTGGTCAATAGGAGAATAGCATCGTGAAAAAAAGCGTACGGCGCTATCAGTCTCTATGAGAGAACTCTGTGGGACATGGCGGATCGTGTTGCGATCTTCATTGCGATTAAGCATTCACATTCAATTGTATTCCGTACATTGTGCATGTTTGAATTAAATCAGTTATTATGAAAATACTGTTTACCGCCGAATTTACTACCCGTTCTTACATGTATATTTTAAGTAAAATCTCTGTTATTTCTGGAATGTAGGATAAATTTGAAATACATATATTTTTTGATAATATTAGAGGAAGACTCCTTTTTGTCTTAAAATATAAGATTTCATTCTCAAAAAAAATTTTCATTTTCATTTGCAAAGCGCAATAATCCGAATTAATAGAAATCAATTCGCAAATGAGACTTTTGTTATTCTGTCATAATAATATAATCAAAGCGTCCGATAATAAAACGTTTTGCCTCTACAGTTATACGCGATAGATACTCAAGGCCTAACTAGAATAACTGGATTTCAAGAAGAATATGCCGGAAACAAAGTTTAAGATTTAATGTAAGGTGGAAATGTCTGAGACTCTCTTGCGCTTTTCATCGATACAGCAACTTCTAGTGCAAATTCCTGCCCCGAAAAAACATCTTATGCAGATAGCGATAATTATTGAGCGATTCTCTTGTGCAGGTTCAGCGATAGCAATGATTGGGGCTAATCTGAGATATGGCATTGGCACTTCCGGAAATGTCACGTCCAACGCCACGAAAGTGTTCCAGTGCCATCCCGGTGGTGTAACCGAAGCCACCGTCATATTTAGTCTCGGTGCATTAGGAATGGGAGCGAATATTATTCTTATGGCGTTGATATTGACAAAGCGGCAGCTGCGCAGGTACGAAATGCTAATAATCCGCTGAAGAACGATGGCTTTATAACCGTCGGTATCCTTTGCATAGACTGATCCGAGATGAGCATAATATTAGAATACGTGCGTTTTATGACGCTCGATGTCAGAGAGCTCGCGTGAGTCAAGAAATAAAAACTCTCGCTTTGTATCGCTGCAAAAGTTATAGTCGTGATATTACGCGAATGAAAAAAAAGAATGCGTCGTAAAAGAAGAAAGGATACATCAATATTGCGTTTAAGCATATCGTGCAAATTCAGCACTTATTTAAATGGCAACAAGCATTGCCTGTGTTGCAATAAAATATATCACCAGCTTTTCTGGTCGTTTTAAACTTATTAACCAAGAGTAACTTTAATTTTCTGTGCTGAACTTATTTCAATCAACGTACCATGACCGCAACTTTATTTTCGTTCGCGAACAGATAAGTATATTACGACCAGATAATCATCTCCACATGTAATTGTATGTTTACTACATACAGTCTGTTTACAAAAACGGAGCACCTTCGGCGGTCAATGATCTTGACACATGTTGTCAAGGACTCTTTGAACAGCAATCAAAAGATTTTAGCCGTTCGTGGTTTGTTAAAAACTTATAAACAAAAGAAGTTTCATAAATGAACTCTTATTTTCCAACACCATGTACAATTTTGTTTATTTTATAAGCGTGTAGGCAGAGAAAGGACTTTGCTTCTCCCGAAAGGGAAATAACTTAACCCTTTCCCCTGCACTCTCTCGAGAAAAAATGAAGAACGGCTTTCGATTAAATGTTGCTTCATGTCAAGAGTACGTGGTTTTTCGAGGGGAGTGCAGGAAGAGAGGCAAAGCCTCTCTCACTGCTTACATACTTACAACACGAACAAGAAGAACATAAACAAAGTAGTTTTGTTAAGAGGTCTTGTAGCTTTGTTTACATTTCTCAACACATTGATGTAGTTTAGTTATCTGTAAGCGAACAAGCGTTAAACATATACCTACACAAATTTCTTCATTTGACGTACAATTTAGACCAACTAATAAACTATTTGTGTAACAAAAAAGTAATACGCCAATAAATTAAATGTCGGAAAATAAGAGTTTATTGACGCACCTTCTTTTGTTTATAACTTTTTAACAAACAATGAGCGACGACTAAAATCTTTTGATTGCTGTTCAGGGAAGTGTTCTTGACAACATATGTCACTGTCATTGACCTCCGTAGTTGCTGTTTTTTTAAACATTTACCCAGTCTGTTTTACAAAGAAGTATGACCTTAAGTTAAAACAATTGATCGTTGCCATCCATTATATAACGTTGGAAAGCTTGGAACGTGTGTCTACTTGTATAGTATATGTATGGTGACCATGTTTTTTTGGAGAAAATAAAGGACAACTTAGAAATTGTTTCATACTAAAGAGCAAACTTATTTGTTATATTAAAATTAAAATCCTTTTTAACACTTCTTATAAAATATAAGTATTATATATATTGTATACAGGGTGTTTGATAAGTACCGTCTCACCGCTTGTAAGTAGGTAGAAGGGGTTATTCTAAGACGAAAAGTCCTATTCCACTTTGTAAAATTCGCAATAATTAACGAAATGTTAATGAATAAAAATCCGCTAATCAGCGTGCATCCAGAGTAAGGACAGCGTAAGGACAGCCCAGTCTTTCGTGCGTACGTGCCGTAGCGACAGAATAGGAGAAGCTAATAGAATAACATGTGTATCTTACATAGACTGCGTTCGGACAGCGCGCTATCCGCGCTATTGTCTCATTCTATCTGTATCGTTCGTTAGATGTAAAACAAAGATAGAATGAGACAATAGCGCGGATCTATCACATAAATGTTTAGCATACTAGTCGAAAGTAAGAAAGTGCCAAAAAGGTGCCAAATAATAATTGACAATAGAGACGACAAAATACATTACTAAATAATTACTCAATAATTGTGCAATATCGTTTTAAATTTACTTTAATGTATCATAATCTTTTGTTTTTAGGTTGTATATTCTCGACATGATGCCATGATGCCACACTTTCTTATTGGACAGACCGTAAAATATTTTCTTTAACGCGACGAAATTCAAAATTTAAGAGAGTGTTCTAACGGTTATATCGCAATAATAAATTTTTGGAGTATTCTATACATTTATGAGAATTTAATTACAAACGCGATTTGTCTACAAACACGACTAAAAAATACAGAGAAATGTATCCTCAGAACAGCAATAGGAATTTGAGCCCGCGCACGCTACCGTTTTTCCCCCTCTACTTACGCACACAGACGCTCGGTTCATCCGTGTAACTCGGCACCGACGGATAGATCGAGCTTCTATGTGTGCGTAAGTAGAGGGGGAAAAACGGTAGTGTGCGCGAGCTCGAATTCCCATCACTGCCTCAGAATGCGATATCAAGTTAATTGTTTTTATTGCTATAAACGTCTATAGACGCTTTGCAAATCGTTTAGAAAATGCTTTATAAACGATATCACTCAAAAAGTGCTAAAAGCGCCTATAAGCGTTCGGTGTTTATTAGCGTCCGACCAAAACCATCTTTTTCAGTTTCGACCGAAACTAAAAACGAATATTCGTTTATCATCAATTTCGGCCGAAATCAAAACCGAAACTTTTGTAAAACTGTAAAAAAACATTATGTGTACACACACACACACACACACATTATATACTGTTATATTTTCTGAAACATTTTATTAATGATTTTTGGTTAATTTTTCTGGAACTGCTACATTATAGTTATCAACACGTAGAAAAAGGGTTATTAGGCACGAAGTCCAATGAATAATTTTCGAGATATGAAATCCTAAAATTAGGATTTCCATACCTTATGGAGATGCAGTAGTGATACCGATTTGCTCCTTACACTTGAGATGAGCTGAGATATGCGTATATATCAGTGTATGCATGTGTGTGTGTGTGTGTGTGCTTATATGCGTGAGTGTGTATATGCCCGCGTGTGTGTATAAGACAATGTTGTGTCGTTCTCCGCTTTTTGACTGCGTCCACATTGTCCAATCGCATTGATTATGTTCGGCAAAGTGACCAGTGCGACAGAACATCGTAAACCCAACGCTCGTGATCTTCGCGAGCGCCAAGTGGAATTTATTCATAGAAGAACACAAGAAAAAAAGTTTGCATGATCGCCGCAGTAGCGCTAGCCAGCATATTACGAATATGTACTATTGACAGCTTACAAGAATTTGCTCTACCCACAAACTAACAGACGCAAGGGGCAAAGGGAATCGTCCGTCCGCTCCAATCAAGTTCTTCTATTAGGTAGGCAGTGGGAATATCCCCACCGCCTCGACAGAACCTACCTAATAGAAGAACTTGATTGGAGCGGACGGACGATTCCCTTTGACCCTTGCGTCTGTTAGCTTGTGGGTAGAGCGAATTCTTGTGAGCTGTCAATAGTACAGTTTCAGCTACACTGCCAAAACTTACTTTCAATTTCTTTCAAAACCAAAACCAAGCCAAAACTTTGATTTTTGACTGAAACTGAGCGAAACTGAAACCGAAACCGAAGTTTTGGTCGGACTCTAATGTTTATTATTGGTATTCGTATATTTTTATACTACTGCAATGTAATTAAGTATTTTGACAACTTTTATATTTTCTACAGAAATTTTACATGTTGCGCACTAGCGAAAAGTTTCGTCGTGTCATGTGCGCTCTACATTACACTTTGCCGCAACAAAAGAGTTAAGAATTAGCAAAAGACGAGCAGAGAATAGTGAACGTTTTTGACGCACATTTATCTTGGAATTTACAGGTGGTCCCAGGGACTGTTATTCCACCAAGCTATGGTAGACTGCGCGCGAGCCGCTATATTACTGCCTCTCGGCTCTAGTATATTGAATTGTCAGCCCGTTAATAAATGCTCCCTCGTCGAGACTGCTTTTCTGCTGCTAGTCACTGTTTCCACAATAAACATGCTAACGACTGTACTGAATGACAGTCCGGTATTCCCAGAGACTGATGAGGAAACGGATCTAATCGCTCCTCTATTAATGGACTCGCCTCAAGTAAGAATTTATATTGCTCATTGTCGCTAAGATATGAATTATTCTTGTACTCTGTAGTGGTATCGTAAGATATAAGTAAGTTAGAGAAGTTTTAAGTTTTGTGTATTGTTTGTTGTGCAAGTCTTAATACATAAGTTCCTTATCTTTACTTATATATCTTTTATTTCTTATTCCTTATTTCTTACAGCTTTTACAGTTTTTTAACGATCGCAACTTTGAACTCTCAATCTAGGCGGTTACAGTTACGTTTCTTTATTATAATAAAGTTTACATTGTTTCCATTGTATAGCTGTACCTTAAAAAAAATGATTTTACGCTCGATTTCGTGTGATTCACAGGAAACGCTCGTTTGATAAAATATAGATATCAAAGTCAAGTAAACCTGTTTGTTCCTGACAGGCAATTGATCAAAAACGCTGACAACACGAACAAACCGCGTGATTTCGGTTAACGTGAACGTCGATCATCCATCTCGCATGCAAAACGAGAGAGAAAGAGAGAGAGATTTCTCACCTAACCGCAGCATTGTGATAGCGAATTTAGCAGTAACTGATTGCGGTGCAAGCTGTCCACGCCGCGGTATATCAATGTGTCAAAGCACGAATTGTCGGAATAAATCATATTTTTTAAAGAAAAAGAAAAGACTTAATTATCCCTGCAAAACTATTAATTCGCAATACTTCTTGATACTTTAAAATCACAAAAAACATCTGCACTACTCTGTTTTGAATAAATTTAATGAAATTTAAAGAGAACCAGTGTCTTCGGCGGAAATGTCATTTTAAGCTGTGTTGTCCAAATTTCTTAACGAAATGCGGTTGTAATTGTATCTGATCAAAACTTGCATCCAACAAAGTGACCTTTATTCTTTACGACAATAACTTACTTGTGAAATACAAGATTACGACAGACGTGTTGAGTTTATATAAATAAAGACTCCGAGATTACTGTAGCTTTAAATATTAAATTAATATTAAATATTAAATTGATATATTTATAAATATTAAATATTAAATTGATCAATCATATTTCTAATGAGATTACGCTACGTTTGAGAAAGATTAACCGTTCCCAAAAGTTTATATATAAATACACGAAAGTCTAAAAATAAATGTTTCACAAATTTATGAAAAATAATATTTTGCAACGCGCGTCTTATTAGATGTGAAAATGTTTTAAGTAACACTTTTCATGTCTACTGTTTATAATAATTAATAGTTTAATACTTTTATATTTTAATGCTGTTTTTATGTTTAAAAAGTTTTAATTTTTCAAAATAATTTTTTCAATTATAATTATATTCTTTAATTTAATAGTTTACTGTAAAGATATTCTATAAAATATCGAATTTTAAGCATACTTATTTGTCAAGTATGCTTGACAAAAATTGTCAAGAATTAATCGTGTAATTTAATTGAAATAGCATTTCAAAAGTATTTACAAAGTTTGTCGAGAATATATTTGCGCAGTATTCAACACTTTGAGCGTCGGAAGACACAATTATTATTGCGTTTTAATAAGATAAAAACTTATCGGAGCAAAAAAACAAATCAAAAACTTCCTTAAGAAGATGCTGAAGTGACAAGTCAAACTCGGATTTGACAGCCGCTCAACTGCTACGCTGTCCAGTAAGTAGCGTCTTCTAATCGGAGAATAGATGACATAATAGAGAGGAGGTTAGACATATGTGTCAACAAGATTAGACATATGTGTCAACAAGGTTAGACTTATGTGTTTTTTCAGCGATTCTGTTAAAACTATACTAATTCTAGTTCTATATTCCTGTTTCTTACAAGTTTTAAAGTTTTTTTTTAAACGCTCAAAGTATTCGTTTATGTCTATAGAATAGAAACCTAAAAACTTTCGTTTGGAATCATTGCCAATTTTGTATACAAAATGAAAATGTAATTCGGGTTAGTGATGGTCATAACTTTTTATAAATGTTTTTTTGTTTTGCTTGTATTTTTTAGGAGCATTCCATTTTTTAGCACATTTTTTTCATTCTAGAAAAGCATTTTTTACAAAAACTTGAAACTACGAAATGTGAGTAAAACAGGACGGTTCAGCATCTTCTTAACAGTTTTTTGAATAATTATATTTTCTTTAAAAATTTTAAAAAATTTTTCTATTATATTTTTGAATAAAATTCAAACAATATATATATATGTTTGTCTCATTGTTTAAAAATGTAAAGGCTATATGTGCCTCTTTTGAGACATATTGAATAAACCTGCATATGAAAAAACTTTTTGTAATTTTTGCCGAACAACTTTTCGCTATTTGCAGTGCGTACTCTTTGGCACTTTTATGATCTGGTTTGCCAGTATAACGATAAATCTGGGACCTACGTTTCTCAGCGGGGCCTTAGCGGCGAATACAGAGAGTGGTCATAATGCGCCTAGCTGTCCGTTAGTGCATGGCCCTTTTCGTCACTACATACTCAACGTCCTCTGGATCGTTATTAATGGCATTTGTGTGGCACTCACGCTCTTTCATTTGAGAAAATTATACAGAGATTTGACAAAAGCTAATGTCGAAGCGGTAAGCGTCAATCACATAAATTGTTGATGGTGGAAAAAAAATTTATTTATATATCTATATAAATACATAATTATTTAGAAATATAATATAAAATATAAAAAGTACCGGTACAGCAAAACATCTCGAAAACTAAGCAGTTTACGAAAAAGCATTTCAAGTAAAGTTGTAGGGTTTAAAAAAATCTATTTACTGATTTTATTAGTGTGATCTTGACGTCGTCAAAGTCAAGTCAAAACTCTATATTTTTTATTGCAGAGTTTTATAGCTTAATTCAAAAGCTTCCCAAAACATTATACTAAAATTTATTTTCATTAAATACTTTTTGAATTCTGAATATTAAAGTACCGCCGGTACTTTTTTTACAAATATGATTTTGATCAAAACAAATTTTGTGAGTTCATGATGCAGAGAATTGACAAAGAACCTAACTTCCTATTCAACATAGTTTTTTTTGGGTAAAGCAATTCGAAATGAATGATAATCTCGATAGATAATGCTAATACCGGTGATACTCTAATATTCAACCCTCATAAATCAAAAAAGTACTTAATGAAAATAAACTTTATTATAGTGTTTTTTTGGAAAGCTCTTGAATTAAGCTACAAGAATCTGCAATAAAAAATATAGAGTTCCATTTAAAAAAATCGATGTGATCTTAACCTGACCTTGACAACACCATCCAAGGTCACACTGATACAATCAGTAAATGGATTCTTTTAAACCTTACAATTTTTGAAACACTTTTTTGTGCCTAGTTTTCGAGATGTTTTGTTGTACCGGTACTTTTTATGCACCTTGTATACATGTATATTTGTATTTATTTTCAGGTACGAGTTGCTGGTCTTGTGACAACGCTTGTTAATGTGACAGGCGGACATCAAAGCGCCACAAATGCACTCGCAACCAAAGACGGCGCGATTGATACGAGAAACGGTACCATGACAAAAGTAAGTTATTACACGTTGATAGTTCTTCAACTTGTAAACATATATCTTTGTATATACATACTAAAAGTCTAAAACAATTCTAAAATACAAAAATTCTCAAAACAATCGAGACGAAAATTTTTTTCGTTATTTTAGAGACTTGGCGCCGTAGAAGAGCATCGAAAAATGAGGAATTATCTTAGACGGATGGAGCGCGAGGGCGTGCAAAGAGTAAAAATGTTTTTAGTCATAACAGCGGCATACATTCTATTCTGGGGACCACTGTTTTTCGTTACTCTAGTACGCCATCCTGCCATAGGCAATCCTACTGGCTACGAGGTAATTAGAATGAATAATGTGTAAACTTTGCATCTGCGCATTTGCGCTAGTGTTTATCTACTAAAAACTTTATATGAAATTTCTGTGCTTTGAGTGTTCCACAATTAGCGCATTTCTGTCTAACAACAGACTTCCAAAACCACTTCAAAACAAAAATCCCAGCACGTCGAGACAACAATACTCTTTGAATTACAAGCACCTAAAGCATTCAAAAGTAACGAATCAGATTAGAACAACGATCAAAAGCGCGAACATTGTCGTCTTTTTTGTCAACAAAGACTATATGTTATAATAATAAGATTTTACTCAAACCCTACAAATTATGAATGGAGACAACTTGATGATAAAATATTAAAACAGGTACACACTTTTCTTACTGTGATAAAAAACATTATTTAACACGAAATATATAAACGGTGAATAAGAGCCGCTAGATGTGGCGGAAATATATATACATATGTGTATTCACGTGTAAATACATATACATACGAAGGATATATCATATACAGGGTGTTTAATAAGTACCATCTCACCGCTTGTAGGTAGGTAGAAGGGGTTATTCTAAAACGAAAAGTCCTATAGCACTTTGGAAAATTCGCAATAATTAACGAAATATTAATGAATAAAGATCCGCTAATCAGCGTGCATCCACAGTAAAGACAGCGTAAGGACAAGCCCAGTCTTGGCGCTTGTTGGCAAGCAACCGTCCCGCTTGCCCTCCGATCCCGCGCCTACTCATCGAATTCCTGACGCGCTGTGTACACATGTTATTCCATTAGCTCCTCCTATTCTGTCGCTACGGCACGTACGCACGAAAGACTAGGCTGTCCTTACGCTGTCCTTACTTTGGATGCACGCTGATTAGCGGATCTTTATTCATTAACATTTCGTTAATTATTGCGAATTTTCCAAAGTGGTATAGAGCTTTTCGTCTTAGAATAACTCCTTCTACCTACCTACGAGCGGTGAGATGGTACTTATCAAACACAGTCTCTCATATATGTGATACAAATATAGCATCCTATATGAGTTTGAAAATTGATATTTCAATTCAAAAAACTCATGTGTAAAATTTACACGTGAATATATGATATATCTCTGTAAATATGATATACCTCCCGTATATATATGTATTACACGTGATATATGAATATACAGGATGATTCAGAACAACTCTTTACCTTTGAAAATATATATTCTTGACTAAATTCTAAAACAACTTTTTATTTGACAAAATTTTGTCTAAAGTTTACTTTTTGAGTTATTAATAAAAATAGATGACTTACCACGAATCCGATATAAGAAGTAGGCAAGGACGGCGCAATTCACCGTGATTAACAGTGATTTATGTGATGCACGGATTAAATGATACAAAAAAATAAATAAATAAATAAGTGAGAAAAAAAGAAAGAAAAAGACAGAGACAGATACAAAAGAAACAGTGTAGCGATCAGCTGATCGCGTCAGGCACCACACGTAATCGCCCGCGTCTGACGGTGAGATGCGCCATCCCTGCCTACCTCTTGTATCCGACTCGTGATAAGTCATCTATTTTTATTAACTCGAAAAGTAAGCTTTAGACAAAATTTTGTCAAATAAAAAGTTATTTTAGAATTTAGTCAAGAATATGTATTTTCAAGGATAAAGAGTTGTTCTGGATCACCCTGTATATATATGTATGTGATGTATGTATATGTGATGTATATGTGTTGTATATATAGGATGTTTCGTAATTGCTGTTTCACCGCTTGTAGACAGGTAGAAAAGGTTATTCTAAGACGAAAAGTTCTATACCACTTTGGAAGATTCTCAATAACACAGGCCCACAAAAAAAAGTTGTCTGAACTTTAAACGGGACTAGTGTATTCTTACGTATTTTGAGCCGCTGAATCCGAATCCGAACTCAGAATTTCCTCTAGACGTCAGAATTTTTCCCTAGTCTAGGGGAAAAGTATAAAATCTAGGTAAAATCTAGGATATTCCGGGCTGTCCGAAGGTCATATTTTTACAGAAGCAAGCTGATGAGTATCTTTATAAATTTCGAGTCTACGGCGCGACAGACTAGGCTGTTCTTATGCTGGATGTACGCTGATTAGCGGATCTTTATTAATTCATATCTCGTTAATTATTGCGAATCTTCCAAAATGGTACAGAACTTTTTGTCTTAGAATAACCCTTTCTTCTTGCCTGCGAGCGGTGAAACGGCAATTATGGGACACCCTGTATATGTGTATATATACAGAATGTCCGTAAAATTTTGACCTTAACATGACCTTCACGACGCCATTCAAGGTTAATTGCATATGCCCATGTAATGTATTACTTGACCACCAACAACTTTTATCTGAAACAGTTTGTAAAATAACCACTTCCTTCGTTTTTAAATGGGATGGGTGGTCTGAAACACCCTATATATACATATTTCCGCCACAACATCCAGGAGATGTTTTTCATTTTCATTAAACTGAATAAGGATAATAATTTTTATTTTAATAATTCTAATAACATTTTGATTAATCCCATCATGAATAGATATTATTAATTAACTTAATTTCATCCTTCATCTTTAAGGAATTCAAAGTTCTTATCCAATACTCTTTCTGTAACATCGTTCTTTTATATGCTACATTTTTATTTATCTTATTCAACAACTTTATAGGACTATTTCCTTATATTTTTACAGCCTCAAGACACCTATCCCTACTCTTATTCACTGTTTATATATTTCACGCTTAGAAACCTTCAGAGCCTAAAATTCTGTAATTATTATTTAACATATTCTTACGTGATAAAAAAATGTGTAAAATACAAGCTGTTAGATGATATTTCTTTAAGCGGCTGCTAAGTTTTTCAATATTATCAAACAACATTTCTTATTATAAATTTATAATAGATAAAGCAATGGTTAAAAAATATGTAATAAATATTATATGCAATAAATTTTGCGTAATAAATTAGTAAATATTTTTGTAATAATTTTTTCTATAGCAAAATGATACATGATGAAATATTATTATCAATAGTTTTGTCGATAAACGCGACATATAAACATTATATGACGTTCGAATTTGTAAGTAATTATCTTTTCAAGCTATAAAACTTTTATCAAATTTTACAGAATTTTTATCGAATTGCTATTATCCGCATACACAATGCGCAAATTTGAGATAAAGCATAATTTTATCTTATTATATCATATGCAATCTTTATTGATAAGAGAGACAACACTATTTGCGCTTTTAGTGTTGTATCGCATCTGACCGCGCGAATTTGAGGCAATCTGATTCTTTATCTTTAACACGTTGAGTACAAATGTGCACGGAGAAACCACTAGGAATATCACTTAAGTAATTATAGTCGTCTTAACAAAATACTAATGTTATTTTTTGTCCCTGCGTACAAAATGATTGTAGAAATCATAGTTCTATGGAAATGACCTGCATGGTTGATCCAATCTTAATGAGAATAGTATTATGGATACTATAATCATATGGCATTGATAATACATATGTAGGAATTTGAAATTGCACTGCATTAAATATTGATAAAATATTCTTTAGAGCAATGCTGGAATTGCCAGTCTGGAAGGAAAATGCAATTTTCAGTTGAAAAGAAACATCAGCTTCGAGCAATTCATTCTTGCTTTTAAAGGTAAGTTAATGCAAGATGTTAGGTTTTTTAAAGTTTTATTATATACAGTATAATAAGACCACAATAACGATAATCTTAAAATTTATCAATTTTACATTAACTTATTTTTGAAAGCAGGAAAAAGAAATTCATCATGCATTCATCTATCATGCATTATAGAGACAAAGATAGACATATGTGTTTCTCCGGCGCTTCTGCACGGAGAAAACTCTTATGATTGCTAGAATCATAGTATCTATGGTTAGAAAAGTAGTTGATATAAATTCAAGTTAAATAAATATTACCTTAAAAAAGTGCTGTTAACATACGCTCAATTATACAGTTTGCACAGCCATATTTAAGTGAAACTCCTTTTATATGTACTCCAATTATATGAACGGATTTTTTGCAATGCCTGATTAACTGAACTAGCTGAGCTCTTATTATATGAACAGTTCAGATAATAAGAGCGGGCGACTCGTGCGGTAGATGATAAAGGAAGTAGGTGAGCTCTTATTATATGAACTATCTGATTATGTGAACTTCCCTGTCTCCCTTCCGGTTCATATAAATGGAGTTCTACTGTAATACATAATATTCAATTAGTATACTCTCATATATAGTTGCCTCAACTAAAAAAAATATTGGTACTTCTTTATTGTGATCTGTAGAACAAATACTATGAAGAGGTTTATACAGTTTGGTTACGTGATACAGTATTAATAAGTGGCATGCCTAACATAATAAGGCTAATGTTCTGGAATGTTCTGCTAAGACACGCAGTAACAGACAGCAAAAAATGATTATGATTTAGTGGCTATTAATTTAGTGAAAATATGCACTGTAAGACATTTCTAAAAAACATCGGCTTTGAATAGTTCTTTCCTGCTTTCAAAAATAAGTTAATGTAAAATTGATAAATTTTAAGATTATCGTTATTGTGGTCTTATTATACTGTATATAATAAAACTTTAAAAAACTTAACATCTTGCATTAACTTACCTTTAAAAGCAAGAATGAATTGCTCGAAGCTGATGTTTCTTTTCAACTGAAAATTGCATTTTCCTTCCAGACTGGCAATTCCAGCATTGCTCTAAAGAATATTTTATCAATATTTAATGCAGTGCAATTTCAAATTCCTACATATGTATTATCAATGCCATATGATTTAGTGTCCATACGACTATCCTCATTAAAATTGGATCAACCATGCAGGTCATTTCTAGAAAACTATGATTTCTGCAACTATTTTGTACGCATGGACGAAAAATAACGTTAGTATTTTGTTGGAGCAACTATAGTTACTTAAGTGATATTCCTAGTGGTTTCTACGTGTGCTAAACCTGCATCAATCGTATTTTGCAACTATCGTTTCTTACAAACTTCAACATCTTTTTTTGATGCACTCAAAATAATCATTTATATCTCTAGAAAATATAGTATATTTGTTCGAACTTGTACTGCCAATTTTGTATATGACATGAAATATGGACTATGTCGTAACAATCCATAAATTTGTTTTTTGTTCTGTTTTGAATGTTTTTAAACGTTCCACTTCTTTAACATATTATTTTTTATTCTAGAGAAGCGTTTTTTATTCCGATCAATGACTGCAGAAATAATAAGTTGCAAAATACAAAGTGCTCTTAAAACTGAAAAAGTATTATAGCACCGACTTTTTTGGTATTGCTATTGAGATTTTTGTCTCAGAATTGTCTTCGAAATTTACTGTTGAAAAAAATATGGTAATTGTGGGACATTATTTATATTTTTTGCCTTGCAAACATTTTATGGTTGTTATTTGTCTATACGCATACATTTAAGAATATTAATTTGCATTCTCTCTCTCTCTCTCTCTCTCTCTCTCTCTCTCTCTCTCTCTCTCTCTCTCTCTCTCTCTCTCTCTCTCTCTCTCCCTCTCTCTCTCACTCTCTCTCTCCCTCTCCCTCTCCCTTTCCCTCTCCCTCTCCCTCTTCCTCTCCCTCTCCCTCTCTCTCTCTCTCTCTCTCTCTCTCTCTCTCTCTCTTTATTCACATTTTCTTTTACTTCTTTCATACTTTCTTTCTTTCATACTCATTTTTATTTTTATTTTATATAATATTATTTTTATTGTCCATTGTTAGTTTTTCGTTTGTTATTTTTTTTCTAATGTTGCGCTTGAGATTTATCTCGGAGCGCTTTACAAAGTATAATTCATTCAATCAATCAATCAATTTTTCTCTTTCTTTCTGCACATGAATGTCTCGCGTGTTTGAAGCAATGTATGTCTGTCCTAATTAGTCTACAGTTAAATGTTACGTCATTTATTTATTTACCCTGCAAATAACGTTTTTTATTCATTTCAAGAGATAATGTAGGTCAGAATTTGTTAACAGCTTATTATAAATATAAAGTATGAGTACATCTGACATATTCTCTCAAGTATATATATACATAAATAGCAACAATGGCGACTGAAACGAATTGCAAATGCTAGAGTTACTTACAGCAATAATATCTATAACATAAATCTAAGACCTCGTTTTTTTAATTCATATATATTATGCTTGTAAAATTGTATTTTAAACTGCGATAGTATAAAATTTCACTAAAAATAAAATATGAAAAGTTTGAGAGCAAACATAAAAGCGAAGTTTGCTTGATATTATCGACACACAGTTGTTCGTGAATCGCAAGTCGATCAAGCAAATTCGCAGCTACACGCACACGCACACGCACACGCAGTGTTGTTACGAAGTCGCGTTTTCGCGCATGCGCACTGCGCTGCAAGAAGAATGCAGTAATGTATATATACAGGGTGTCCTAGAATTGGTTTAACATCTCTCGTAGACAGGTAGAAGGAATAAAACTGAGGTGAAAAGTCCTATACCATTTTGCTAGATTCGCAATAGTTACTGAGATTTTAATTAACAAAGATCCGCGAATAAGCGTGCATCGGGCTGTCTTACGCGCGTAGGACAGCCCGGCGCGCTTCACACAATTACATTTTAATATGTATATGTTATAGTATATGGTGTTATAGTAGCTCCTCCCATATGTCGCTATGGGTAACACCGTTAGCGCGCGAAGCGCGGCGGGCAGTCTTACGCGCGAAAGACAGCCCGATGCATGGTTATTCGCGGATCTTTGTTAATTAAAATCTCAGTAACTATTGCGAATCTAGCAAAATGGTATAGAACTTTTCAACTCAGTTTTATTCCTTCTACCTGTCTACGAGAGATGTTAAACCAATTCTGGGACACCCTGTATATGCACGTAAATGAGGGTCACCAACGTGTACAGTTTTGGTGGGATCTCGCAGTAGGGACTGAGAAAGTTAAAGAGCGTAGGATAAAAAGGTAAGTTAATGTTAATAATTATAATTATTTATTTGTGCAATATTAGTGCAATAATTTTGCAATATAGATTCCAATATTGCTACAAGAGCCATTAAAAAACAAAGTACAAAAAAATTTTTTAATTCGTGGTTAAATGAAGATATTTTCAAAGGATGGTTGGCTCCCCATTCAGAACCTAAATAAAGCTTTTCGTATCGTGTGTAATGTCAGCATTACGTGTCGTAAAACAGATTTAGTACGGCAATCACAAACGGCTAAACATATAGATGCAATAAAAGGTCAAAATCAATGTCTCGACGTTAACATTATTTCTCACAAGAGAAAGAAAAAATAAAACGAGCGGAGATAAAACTAGCTGCCTTTTTTGCTGAACACAATGTAGCTTTTTCTACGGCTGATCATTTAATTCCTTTAATAAAAAATAATTGTTTAGATTCTAAAGTTGTACAAGATTTGTCACTAGGCCGAAATAAGTGCACTAATATTGTGACAGACGTTTTAGCCAAACGTGAAACAGAAAAATTAGTTGAAATTTTAAAAATACAAAAATTTTCGATTTTAATAAATGAAAGTACGGATATTACGGATACAAAATTCATGTGTGTTTTCATTAAATATGTTTTAATAGATAAAGAAATAAAAACACAGTTATTAGAGTTGTTACTGTTAGATGCCACAGACTGTAGTGCAAAAAAAATATTTCAAATTTTTAAAGCTTTTTTTCTTGAAAATAATATTCCTTTAGAAAATATAATTGGAATGGCAAGTGATAATGCATCGGTAATGATTGGGTGTAATAATTCTTTTTATACGCATTTAAAATCTGAAGTTCTAAATTTAATTATATTAAATTGTATTTGTCATTCCAGTGCGATTATTGCAAGTAAAGCATGTGAAAAATTACCGCTAGATTGTGAACATTTAATTAGAGGAATCGCAACTTATATTTCGGGTAGTGCAAAACGTTGTGCAATTTTTACAGAATTTCAAGATTTCTTTAATGTACAAAAAACCAAAATTTTAAAATTATGTAATACAAGGTGGCTAGTTTTACATCAATGTGTCGAAAGATTACTCCAGAATTGGGATGTATTAAAAAATTTTTTCACTTTGTGGCTATAGTAGAAGATCACTCAAAATCTGCGGAAGATATTTTGTCATTACTAAACGATAATTCAATTAAAGCTTATTTTTTGTTTCTAAAATATTCATTAAATTTTTTAAATACTTTTAACGCCTTATTTTAATCGCGCAAGATTCTAATTCATAAATTATTTAATAGAAGTAATCAAATAATAATTCAAATAGCTCAAAACTTTATTATTCCCGAGGCATTGAATAACATCGCTAATTTAAACATAGATGATGAACAAAATATTAAACCTCTGACCGATATATATGTACGGCCGTATTGTGAAAGTTTTTTAGCGGAACAATCTTTGGATAATATTGAGCAAATTAAATTAAAATGTTTAGACTTTTATCGAACAACTCTTAAAGAAACAATGAAACGTTTGCCGTACAATAATATCTTTTTTGAACAGTTACACTTTATAGAACCTAAAGTTGCACTTTATATAGAAAGTAAAAATAAATTTAAAGATTTACATTTCCTTGCCACGCAAATAAACGTAAATATTGACTGTTCAAAACTTGCTTATGAGTGGCGAATTTTACCTACAGTTTTTGACAATAATGAAAAACAAGATTTGACTTCTTTGGACATAGTTAGTACGTGGAAAAAAATATTAAACTTTAAAGATGATTATGATGAAAAAATGTTTCCAAATTTAGAATTATTAGTTGAAGCTATTCTATCTTTACCTCATTCTAATGCTGAAGCGGAACGTATATTTTCTATTTTAACTGATGTAAAAATTAAAAAACGTAATCGATTATCTAATTTATCCATTTCGGCGATTTGTAAAGTGTGATCATATTTTCAAGCAAATAATATTAATTGTATAAATTTTGAACCTGAGTCAAGACATTTGGAATTCCATACTGCAAAATTACAAGCACATAATTAAGTTTAAAAATATATATATAATGTTTTTTATTTAGGATATTAAACTTTAGTAAAAGTTTTTATAGTTATCGTTTTAATAATGTTTATTTATGTTCATTAATATTTTTTATGTTTATGTTCTTTTTTTATTTTTAGTTTATGGTGTGCAATATATTTGTAATAATGTAGTATTATATATGACTAGTCATATCATTTGATTTTATTTTTATAAGCATACCTGCTATAATTATAATGATATTACTAATTATTTTTGNTGCTGAGTTTATTTGTTTTAGATATGTGCAACAAATGTTAGTATTCGTGATTTCTGCCAAATAAAATATTAAATTAAATATTATTTCTATGTTTATTTATTTCTATTGTCTTTAAATCCTATCTTCTTAATATTTTTTTGTTTAAATGTTATTAAAAAACTAAACAAATATTATTAAAACACACTCCACGTGTTAATCGTGAAAAATTATTTGGGTCTTTACAGAACCTTAATAATGTCGGAGTTAGTACGGCAGTAATGCTACATTTAATGGCGCATGCGCGAAAACACAGCTTTTATGGGAACCTAATTGGCTGTACAGTGCGCATACGCGAAAACGCGACATCGCAACAACACTGCGCACACGCACACGCACACGCACACACACAAAACGGAGTTCTTATAAAAAATCTTTTCACGAGAATATAAGTTTTCAAAAAAAGAAAGTTACACATCGAAAACCTTAACGCGAGCAAGTCGAAGACATCAATGCTACAATTGATGTAGCGTTGTAGCAGATATATAAAATAAATGCATTTAATCTTTTAAATGCTAAAAACATTTTAAATGTTTCTATAACGAATTCTCAATATATTGATACACAAAAAAGGCACTGATTATTTTACTGTACAATGTTTACTTTGAAAGTGTAGAATAATATTTTTTCTGTTATAGTTCTTCTATTTTATGCTCGCACTCAATTTAGCTCATAGATTCATGTGCATATTGCGCAATTATGCGTCATATATAAATCACCGGATTTCGGAGGTAATGTTAAACCAGGTGACTCTGCACATCGCATATGTGCACGCTTTCGTAAATCCGGCTCTGTTTCTCGCCCTACACCGAGGATTGCGACAAGGAATGTCAGACGTTTGTTGCGGCTGTTGTGAAAGCATAGCCCGGTGGATTCTTGGAACTGCTGCGCCTACTCCGATACAAAGTGTCCAGCCACCCCGATACGAGGCGCCAATGAACTTCCCCACGCCACCGGCTCCACCACTAGCGGCACCGGTTGCATCGGCAGAATGTAATCTTACCGACGTGGCACATTTAAAACCACCTCTGCCACCGACTGCCAAATTACTGGCGGTACAACATTCATCTGAATAATCGTCGATATAATCTCTTTAAGTGATTAAATGAGAAAAAATTCTAAATAAAACATATATATATGTATATACAGGGTGTTTGATAAGCACCGTCTCACCGCTCGTAGATAGGTAGAACGGGTTATTCTAAGACGAAAAGTCCTATACCACTTTGGAAAATTCGCAATAATTAACGAAATATTAATGAATAAAAATCCGCTAATCAGCGTGCATCCAAAGTAGGGACAGCGTAAGGACAGCCCAGTCTTGGCGCTTTTTCTGTCGCTACGGCACGTACGCACGAAAGACTAGGCTGTCCTTACGCTGTCCTTACTCTGGATGCACACTGATTAGCGGATCTTTATTCATTAATATTTCGTTAATTATTGCGAATTTTCCAAAGTGGTATAGGACTTTTCGTCTTAGAATAACCCTTTCTACCTACCTACGAGCGGTGAGACAATACTTATCAAACACCTTGTATATATATATATATATATATATACACATATATACATATATATATACATATATGTATATATACAGGCTAAATGCTTGAAAATTGATGTATTATTTAATTTTTTAAATTATGTATTATGTAATTATCTGATTATTTACAGCAAATTCAGTAGCCTGTACCAGAGAGAAGACTCAGAGCAGCCATCTATTGTAGGTTCTTACGACGGCTTCAGCCGCTGGTTTTAGCGTTATATCCACAAAAGTGGATCTCAAAACCTGTTTCACATTAAACGTAAGTCGCAGGTCTCGTGGAACTGGTCAATCACGTTGGTCGATTGGCTGATTTGACTCTGCGATTGGTCAATTCCACGAGATTTGTGACTTGTTTTTAATGCAGAACGGCTTTTGAAATCCACTTTTGTGGATATGGCGCTAAAACCAGCGGCTGAAACCGTCGTAAGAAACTACAATAGAATAACCGCTCTCAGGTTTCTCTCTGCTGTACTATACTACGTTCAATTTAAGAAGAGAAACCGGTAGATAAAAAAAACTCGTCCGTTTCGTGCATCTTCTCTACAAAAAAAGCCTTCCCACTCCACAGCCATTGACTGTCACCGGGTGTCCCGCCAATCTCACATGCAACGTTATTCCTACTTTGCCCATTTTTCTTCTCCTATGCGCAGTAGGATTCTCTTTTTGATTTGAACTCAGTATACATATATAAAACATATTAGATAAATATATACAAAAATACTTTATGAAAAATTCATTAAAACAGAAATATTTACAAATATATACAGAGTGTTTTATTTTAATTGCTCCAGGCAAATATCTTAAAAAATATGGAAGATACGAAAGCATGTTTCAAACAAAAGTTGGCTTCGAGGAGGACATAAGTCAGAGCATTAATTTGACCTTGAATAATTGGTTAAAGATCACATAAAAGTCACTTTAAATTTCTTAAATTGAACTCCCTATTTTTCATTGCATTTTCTTATAGCTTACCTTGAGAGCTTTCCAAAACACTATAATCAAATATTTTTTCATTAAGTACTTTTCGAGTTATGAAGTTTGAAAGTCACAGTATGTGCTGGCATTAGCAATTATCCAAAGTGTACCGGCCAGACCGATGAAGGCAAGACCGATTAACTCCATAAGATCACATCCAAGTCACATTGAGTGTTTATTCTTGGTCTACAGCAAATATTCATACTACGTACCAATTTTGTTAGATACATAATTGCAACCGTTTTTCGAATGTATTGACTGTTTTTCTGAGAACATTGACTGGTATAAACACTCAATGTGACTTCAATGTGACTTTATTGAGTTAATCGATCTTGCCTTCATCAACCGGCCGGATCAACCTCGAGTCTTGCCTTTACTGGACGGTACAACTTGGATAATGCTAATGCCGGTACATACTATAACTTTCAAGCCTCATAACTCAAAAAGTACTTAATGAAAAAATATTTGATTACAGTGTTTTGGAAAGCCTCGAGATAAGCTATAAGAAAATGCAATAAAAAATAAGTTTCTATTTAAAAAATTAAAAGTGACCTTTATGTGACTTTCAAATAATTATTCAAGGTCAAATTATATATAATGGCACTATTTTATGTGCCCTTCTCCTCGAAACCATACAACTTTTCTGAAACATTTTTTTATATTTTCCATATTTTTCGAAATATTTGCCTGAAGCAATGAAAATGAAACACTATAATATAGAGTATTCCATAATTGCTGTACAATCTCTCGTAAATAGGTAAAGAGAGTTAATTTCGCAAAGTGATAAAGGACTTTTTTACGCGCGTAAGACAGCCCGATACACGCTTATTCGCAGATCTTTATTAACTAAGATCTCGGTAATTTTTGCAAATTTCGCAAAGTGGTAAGCTTTTTGACTTAATATAACCCTTTCTACCTGTTCATGAGAAATTGTACGGCAATTATGAGACACTGTACACATATACACACACGCACACACACGCGCGCTGAAACAGGCTACCTGAATACACGCTTGCTTTGATAGTGTGTGTGCGTGTGCGTGAACTTTAGAACGCTGTAACTCAATGAAAAATGATCCAAATTTGAAAAATAAAAATCCGTATTTGTCTCATTGCTGCTTACAACTATTGTTTACAACTTTTGTTTTAAACAAAAAATCGACTTCTATTTTAAAAAATGGCCGCCATAATAAAATCTTGAAAGTGGCGTCATCTGTAATTAAATTGATAATGTCATCATTTTTCTCCCTCAAAGCTATAAAACTTTTGTCTTAACTATTTTTCTATAAACTTTTTCTAAAACTTATAGTTTCCAAGTTATTCAGGTGGCCTGTTTTAACTGTCTTACCCTCTGTCTGTCTGTCTGTCTGTCTGTCTCTCTCTCTCTCCCTCCCTCTCTCTCTCTCTCTCTCTCTCTCTCTGTGTGTGTGTGTGTGTGCGTGCGTGCGTGTGTGTGTATGTATGTGTGTAAAGAACACAGAGGAAGAACTTGATAAGTCACATTTTCGTAATTGTAGAAGAGAGCGATTTTAAAGTTCAAAACATATATGTATTTTTGTGTTACACGTTTTATAAAAATGTTTATATCTCGAAATCTATCAAAAGTCTCTCTCTCGCCTTGGATAATTAAAATACTCCATTTTAACTACCAAATAATATCAAAAACAGAAAATCGAAAAAATTTGACTTATCAAGTTCTTCTCCTGTGGTCTTTATATGTATACTTTATTTTATTAATATAGGACGACTCTTTCGCGATATCACCGGATCCTTGGAGTCTGATTTCAAGACCGAAAAGTACGTCTAGCTTCTACGAAGAAGAATTATCAAGAAGACCGAGTCTCCTATTGCCAGCTGGGTTGAACGATCCTCAGAGTCCGACAAGTAGCGATTTACCAAGCGAATAAACGCGAACAGACTTGACTTTAACAAAGGTTAAACAACATTGAACCAAATAGTATCACAACATTAATTGACTGTAACATAAAAATAATTGATTGATTTTTTGAAAACATTCTCTACAAAATTCCTTTTCTAGAAAATCACAATCATAAAAAAATTGTTCGTATTGTCGATATAACTGAAATCAAAGGAAACGTTGAAATTTGATGTGTGTGTGCATGCGTGCGTGTATATATATATATATATATATATATATATATATATATATA